TCTAATCACCCGAATGGAGGTGCACAGACAGCGAGAGGCCAATAAACAGATACGAAATAAAGAATATCCACACCTTTATCTCCACAGTTCTCTCAGGCATCTGTGGCTGCTCTGATCCTTCCCCAGTTCAGTCTTGCCCAAGTTGGCTGCTCCAGGAGCAGCTGAGTGCCTTGGATTAGAAAGCATGGGATTTCTTGCTTCTTCTATAAATTCCACTGGCTATAAGCCTTTTCCAACTTTCTAAATATTCCTTTATATGTGGTTCAGAGTTCTGGGATCCCCTGAGCCTGCTTGGTCCAGTATTCTGTGTTGTTGCTGATGGAGCACCTCACTGCACTTCTACCCTCTCTGCCATCTTGTTTTTTCTCCTCCAAAGATGTCATTTTGAGGACTAAAGTGCACCTGTCCCATCATGGTGTTTTCAATAGCCTCCTACGCATGTGAAATTTAGACAATGAATAAAGAAGACCATAGAAGAATTGATGCATTTGAGTTATGGTGCTGGTTGTTGTTAAGTGCTGTCAAGTTGATTCCGACCCATAGGGACCTTGTATAGAGTTTCCAAGGAGCAGCTAGTGAGCTTGAACCACCGACCTTGTAGTTCTAACGACTTTGAAGTCTGACAGGAATGTTGAATGTACCATGGACTGTTAGAAGAACAAACAAATCTGGTTGGAAGAAGTACAGCCAGAATACTCTTTAGAATCTCCTTCGTCTCTCATACTATCAGGAGGGATCAGTCTCTGAAGAAGAACATCAGGCTGGGTAAAGTAGAGGGCCAGTGAATAAGAGGAAGATGTCCAATGAGATTGGCACAGTGGCAGCAGCAATGGGTTCAAGTATAACAACAATTGTGATGATAGTACAGGATGCGGCAGTATTTCCTTTTGTTGAACACAGAGGTGAAATGAGTTGGAATCGACGTAATGGCACCTAACAAGAACAGGAATATGATTAGAATGGACCAACCTGGATATACCAGGATAATATTGCCTCAATTACATTTGCAAAGTCACTTTTGCCATGTAAGATAATATAATCACAGGTTCTGGGAAATAGGACATGGACATCTTTGTAGGAAGGGAGCATTTTTCTGACTACTACTTTATGTTAGGAAATTTCACCTTACCACAAGAGCAATGAGAACTACCGACAATTTTCAATAGGGAAATGGTATAATTAAATTTACATTTTTTAAAGATCCCTCTGGTTGTCTTATAGAAACTGGATTTGAAAGAAATTATTGTAATTATCTGGGAATGATAGACTAGTAACATGGACCAGAGAAATGTTTGGAAGAGATGAAAAGGCATGGGTGGACTTAAGAGCTATTTCCAAAACTATTAACAGTAGGTTTCAGGTTTCTGGCTAGGGCAACTGTATCTATGGAAGTGCTACTTGCCATAATGGACTCCTGGTGTGGCACTGTAGGGTAAGCACTGGACTTATAACCAGAGATTAGCAGTTCAAATCTACCAGCTGCTCCTGGGAAACCCTATACAGGTTCGCTATGAGTCAGAAATGACTCAAGGACACTTAACAACAACATTTACTTTTAATAGTAAACAGAGAGCCGGAGGAAGAGCTTTGAGAGAAGAGAAAGAATAATGGATTTGTTTCAGGGTACATTTAGTTCAACAGTTCATAATCCACTGTGAGTTGTGTTCAAGAATTTAAAACTCTGGAGATGTACTAATGGACAATTATTAACATAAACATGAAACTGATAGTCTTAAGGAAGAAAAAGTGTTGAGAAAAGACCCAAACACAGAAGTTGAGAATAAACAGCAGTTCAGGGACTATCAGAGGAAGAAGAGACTGCATAGGAGACTAAGAAGAACTGGGAAGAGAAGACAGAAGAAATGAAAGGTGCCTAGTATTACTTTGTTGTTGTTGTGAAGTGCCGTCGAGTCGGTTCCGACCCATAGTGACCCTGTATAGGGTTTCTGAGGAGCAGCTGGTGAGCTTGAACCACTAACCTTGCAGTTCAAACAGCTTTGCGGTCTGGCACATTAAAGTTTTCCAAGCAAGACCAGACAACTATATCAAGCACTGGGAAGTTGTCAATAAGCTAATGACTGAGAGAAGCTAAAGATCGTGAGCGAGATGGTGGTCACTGGTTTTGGCAAGAGCAGTGTCAATGGGTGTAAAACACAGGACATCAATGGTGCAAACTACTTCTGGATTAATGTGCTGTACTGCAAAGAAGGTTTGAACCACAAGGTTGGAAGTTCAACTCACCAGCCGCACCTCAGAAACCCTATACAGATTTGCTATGAGTCGGAACTGAGTGGACAACACTTAATAACAACAACAAAAAGCAGAGTTGCAATTTGTTCTTTGTTTTGATTTGGTTTTTCTAAGATAAGAGAGAAATATATAAATATGCTAATGCCAACTATTTTAGGAAGCTTTGTAAAGGCAAAGAGAGAGATGGGTAGCCAAAAGGAAATGTGGAGTCCAGGAGAGGTATTTTGTTTGTTTGTTGATATCAAAGATGAACACATTATCTTACAAATGGAAAGGAACTGGTGCTGGGGGTGAATTCGCAATAGAAGAAATATTCAATTGGTCAGAATCTCAAAGAGGAGCTGGGGTTAGAGCTTTAGTATGGGATTGGTCACCAGCTGCTTCTTGGAAACCCTGTAGAGGGTCGTTATGAGTTGGAACCCACTCGATGGTACTTAAAAAGCAGCCCCTCCAGTGTAAGAGGCTTCACTGTGAAAAAGAAAAGTGCCCATTGAGACCCATGGAGACAGAAAGTTTATAGGATGTGTACTTAGTGATTTTGTTCTTTTTTCTTGTCACTGAATAAAGAAATTATTCAAGTTGGCATTGCAACCAGTTGAGATCCAAATGATGAATCAGGGGAGAAAGAAAAGTTCAAGGCTAGTTAAGCGTTCCCGAGCATCAGGTCTGAGAAAGGAAGCGAGAAGCCCATACGTGCCAAGTTTATGAAGTTAAAACTCAAAAAGATGCAAAGCAAGCTCTAAAGTGGAGTGTGAAGATGTAAGGGCACTCAGTTTAGCCTCTCATGGGAAAGTGTGACTTATGGGGTGTTTGCTAGGAGTCCCTGTGTTGTGCAGTTAATGAGCTCAACTGCTAACTTGGAGGGTGGCAGTTCCAGTCCACATGTTGGAAGAAATATCTCGGTGATCTACTTCCAAAATATCAGCCACTAAAATCCCTGATGTGGTGCTCTAGGACCAGCACTGGACTGCAAACCAAAACAGTTGCTCCTCAGAAACCCTATATAGGGTGGCTAGGAGTCGGAACCAACTTGATTGCACTTAATAATGACAAACACGCTATGGAGCACAGCTCTACTCTGGCACACAAGGGGTCACCATGACTTAGAATTGATTCAACGGCAACTGGTTGGAGAAAAGAAAAGCTAAGGAACCAGGCAACGCAAAGATTTGTCTGACTCTCTGAAGAGCTACAAAGAAAGTAAATGGTTTCCAGCTTCAGTGAGTTCATAATTCCGTTAGAAATATAAGATCAATCAGTGTGAAAGGCCTAACAGGAGGTCTTCCTAGTTTTCCTCATTACTTTTAGTATAGTTGCTGTTCTGTTGAATGTTAAATAAGAGTAGTACAAGAATTAAAGAACAAGCTGAGAATATAAAACATGTGACCAAGTATCAAATAAAAGACTTAGTAAAAAGATAAATACTCTGATTTAGAAAGGGGAAAATAGTAAACAAATTAAACTAATTTATAAAGATTTCTGAGAACTAGGGACATGAAATGATTATAAATTGATGTGTTTTATTCTCTTAGTTCCCTCCTGCCATCAATACAAAACAGTGGAACTCCGTCTCCCATAGACTGCAGAATGAGCCAGTGGAGTGAGTGGTCTCAGTGTGACCCTTGCCTCAAACAAATGGTAAGTTCTCTCTGAAACTGTACCCTTGCAGCATCTCCACAACAGTGAGATGACTATGAAGCAATGAACCCTCCCATTGAGCTCCAAACTCTAAAGACAGAGAAGTATCTAAATGCATGTGACTCACCTTACAGGTAAACCTGAGTGTTGTATGATATCAGAAATCAGTTTCTGTTTAAGATGATTGCAAAACATGGAATGGCTAAGTGTTACTTTATGCAACATTTGTTGTTGTTGCTATTGTTACTTGTCACTAAGTGATGGTGACCCCATACAAACAGTTTGTGGTTGGTTACTTACCCAAAAGGTTGGCCGTTTGAATGCACCCATCAGTGCAGCAAAAGAAACGCCTGGCAATCTACTTACATAAAATTATTGTTTTTTAGACTCATATGGTTTTCTTGGGGGTAGTGTTTATGAAAGAAAATCACCAGGTCTTTCTCCTGCAGAGCCGTTGAATAGGTTCAAATCGCCAACCTGTCAGTTAGCAACTGAGTGCTTAACAGTTGTGCCACCAAGACTCCATTTCATAAGATTACAGTCACTGAAAACTCTATGGAGCACCGTTCTGCTCTGATGCACGTAGGATCTCCATGAGTAAGAATACACTTAACAGCCACAGGTTACTGCTTTTCCCTCTGCCATCTTAAAACCACTGAATCATTTGGGTTTGGGTGATATGGATGCAGTTTTAGATCATAATCCTTTTTGGTTGTTAGAAACTCTAATCTTCCTAGCTGGTTTTGTGCAGTTCCGCTCAAGGAGCATTGAGGTCTTTGGCCAGTTTCATGGAAGGAAGTGCTTGGACTCGGTGGGAGACAGACGACAGTGTGTATCCACGGAGCCTTGTGAAGACGCTGAGGATGACTGTGGAAATGATTTTAAATGTGCCACAGGTAATCCTTGCAATCAATGTGTTCATCTTGGGTTCCTCTGGGTACACATGAGTGAAAAGAAGTAATTGTGCTTGTAGACACTCCCATTGCTAAATGTGAAAGGACCATCTCCATAGTCTATCCAAATAGTTCAGATGCCTGTGTCTCAGCCCTCACCTTCAACTTCACTTCCACAGGGGGATGAGAGAGAACATTTGGCCTAGACGAACAGTGCGTTTCCCATTGTGATTGCAGGAAGGTGCATAAAGAGGCGGCTCCTGTGTAATGGTGACAATGATTGTGAAGACTTTTCGGATGAAGATGAATGTGAAAATGAGCCCCAACTCCCCTGCCGTGACAAAGTGGTGGAAGAGTCTGAGCTAGCACGAACAGCAGGTTCTGGGTCTGTATCCCACTTGAATTTTTCTAGATGAAGATGAGTGAAAATGATTCCCATCTCTCCTGTGGTAATTGAAGAGTAGTAGAGTTTGAGCTGGTACAGAAAGAACATTATGGGTCTGTATTCCGTTTGAATTACTTTCACGTTTAAAAGAGAATATGTGCTGAATAAGTATCTCAGGATGACTGGATCCAACTGCTGGACCTCAGTTGTTGTTGTTGTTAAGACCTCAGTAGAGGTTTATATAATAGGCTACTGGGATATTAGGTCATAGCTTCTGAATACAGAAGGAGATGAAATAGTTCACTTATGGCCCTCTAGAAGACCATGTTGTTATTAAGTGTTGCTGAATCCATTCCAACTCGACGAGATCCCTGCACAGCATGGATTAGAAGAGGGTAATTCATAATCTTATATGGCTGTGCCTTCTCAAAGAGGAGTAGACATACAGAGACAGGAAAAAATATTAGGACCATAGTACATCTTTTGGGGAGACAAACTTCAATATTAAGACTGCAATATTTCTTTCAAGGGAGACACAATTCAATTCATAACAGGGACCAAAGTATTGGTTACCAACCAGGGCTATTTTTCTCCCCAGGGGACATTTGGCAAGGTCTGAGGACAGTTTTGGTTTTCACAATGAGGAGATAGGGTATTATTAGTGCTAGCATCTAACAGGTGGCTAAAAATCCTAGAATGCACAAGCCAACCCAACCCAAAATGTCAGCAGTGCCAAGGGTGAGAAACCCTTGGCAAAGGTACTAAGACCTCTGTATCAGGTCTAAAAATTGAGATGTTCCCTCTCTCTGGGCCACACATTCTTCTGCTTCTGCAATCATCACACACAATTTCAGGAGATCAGGAGTCAGGCACCAGTCGAAGGTTTTAAGAAGTTTTTTATTCTAACCCATGCCCCTACAGCATTCCAATAGCACCCCTGGTATTTTGGCTCCCAGTCAAAACACTGGAATTTTGAATCAATTGGGTGTTCATAAGCACCAAAGCTAGGCAGGTACCGTTTGTAATTGAGAGGACATGTATTAGAGATTCTCTTATGTTCAAGGGCAAGTTTCAGTCTCTTCGGACATCTATTTTGGTCTTTTCTTTCCTTCTTGTCTTTTTAATGACCTGTTGCTTTCTTCAAGGAGCACTAGTGGCGTAGTGTGTTAAGCATTGGGTTGCTATCTTCAAGGTTGTAGTTCAAAACTACCAGTCACTCTGTGGGAAAAAGAAGAGTCATTCTGTTCCCATAAAGCAGGGGTTGTTGTTGTTAAGTGCTGTTGAGTCGATTCCAACCCTATAGCAGGGTAGGGAAACTTTTTTCTGCCAAGATCCATTTGAATATTTATAACAACATTCTCAGGCCATACAAATTATGAACTTAAAAATTAGCCTGCTATGTTTTGTCAAACATTTTATTAGCTCACCCCACAAAGTGGTTTGAACAGCAATGTCAGAGGTTCAAGCTCACCAGTTGCTACTTGGAAACATTACACAGGGTCGCTATGGGTTGAAACTGACTCAACAGCATTTAACAACAACAACAACAACAACAACAACAACAATGTGATGGCAGGAGTTCTGGTGTGGTGTTGTGGGTTGATTCGCTGGACTGCAAAGTCTGTTTGAACCACAAGGTTGGCGTTCAAATTCAAGAGCTGCGTCTTGGAAACCCTATACAAGGTCACTATGGATTGGAACTGCTTCAATAGCACTTAACAGCAACAGCAACAACAACAATGTGACGGCTGCTGTGGTGCTGTGGGTTAACGTGCAGACTGCAAGTTTGGTTTGAACCACAAGGTCAGAGGTTCAAGCTCACCAGCACTCCTTGGAAATCTTATACATGGTCACTATGAGTTGGAAATGACTCAACGGCACTTAAAAACAACAGTGTGATGCCTATAACTGCAGTTGCCTTGGCAAGGTCCAGACCAAATGATTTCAAGAGGCCACGACCCACAGGCCGGACATGCCTCAGCCCTGCTATAAAGATTTACAGTCTCAGAAACCCAAAATAGCAGGTCTACTCTTTTCAACAGGGTCACTATGAGCCAGGACTGACTCAATGGCAGTGGAGCTGGTGCTGGTTCGGGTGGTTTGGGAGTTGTCCAAACCTTATAACCAGGCCTCTGCATGCTTGAGTGCAATCTGGCTCTTTCAGGTGTTTTCCCTGGGGAGAGATTGTGAGTCCATGGTGAAAAACCATTACTACTTTATTTTGCTTTATTTGGAATCCAAGGAAACATTTATCCCTAATCTAAAGAAAAGAGCTTGAAGCAGTAGAGTGAAGGTTACTTCTTTTCACTCAGTGCAAATTTGCAGCTTGTCTTATCAAAAAAGAATATAGAAACCTTGAACCACTTTGCTGAAACCCAATGTTCATAATCTCTTCCTTTGCTTGGGGAAAAGAAGAAAATTGTTATATAGCATTTGCCAGGGAATTACAAAAGGAGGCATCCCAGAGAGCTAGTCATTATTGTTCTTGTTAAGTGCCATCAAGTCAGGTCTGACTCATAGAGATCTTATATTGGGTTTTCAAGGAGTGGTTGGTGGGTGGGAACCACCAATCTTACAGTTAACAGTCCAGTGCTTATCCTACAGCATTACACCAGGACTCCAGAGGGCTAGTTGTATTGGAGATAGTGGTAAAGTGCTGTCGAGTTGGTCGCTACTCATAGTGAACTTGTATATGGTTTCCGAGGTGCTGTGGTGGGTTTGAACCGCCAACCTTGTGGTTAGCAGTCCAGTTCTTAACCTAAGGTGCAACACCAGGACTTCATAGAAAGTTAGTTGTTGTTAAGACATAGAAAGCTAGTTGTTGTTAAGTTGTTGTCAAGACAGCACTGACTCACAGTGATCTTGTATAGAGCTACTTGTTGTTAGGTGCCATTGAGTTGACACTGACTCTTAGAAACCCTATACACAACAGAACAAAATACTGCCTAGTCCCGATCCAACCTCACAATCATTGCTACACCTGAGCCCATTGATGCTGTCATTGTGCTAATCCATCTCGTGGGGAACTTCCCCTTTTTCTCTGAACCTTCTCTTTACCAAATATGATATCCTTCTCCAGGAACTGGTCCCTCCTGATAATATCTCCAACGTATGAGAGACAAAGACTGGCCATCCTAGCTTCCAGGGAGCATTCTGGCTGTATTTCTTTCAACACAAATTGGTTTGTTTTTCTCACAATCCATGGTACTTTTAATATTCTACCCCCAACACTATAACTCAAATGCATCAATTCTTCTATGGTCTTCCTTATTCACTATCCAACATTCACATGTGTATTGTTGTTGTTAAGTGCCATCAAGTAGGTTCTGACCCATAGCAACCCTGTGTGGGTTTCCAAGATGCAGCTGGTGAGCTTGAACCACCAACCTTTTGGTTCAAACCAACTTTGCAGGCCAGCACATTAACCCACAGCACCACACCAAGACTCTTTCACATGCACATGTGGTTACTGAAAATACCATGACTTGGGTTCAGGAGCACCTTAGTCCTCAAACTGACATCTTTGCTCTTGAACACTTTAAAGAGGAGTTGTGCTGCAGATTTGCCTAATGCAATACGGCATTTGATTTCTTGACTGCTGCTTCTGTGAGTGTTAATGGTTGATCCCAGCAAAATGAAGTATTTGACAACTTCAATCTTTTCTCCGTTGCTTAGAATGTTGTTTATAGGACCAGTGGTGAGGATTTTTGTTTTTGTTTTTTACATTGAGATGCAACCCATACAAAAGGCTGTGATCTTTGATTTTCATCAATTAGAATTTGAAGTCCTCTTTGCTTTCAGCAAGCAAGATTGTATCATCTGCATA